ACTAATAGACTTGTCCAGCGGACCGTCAAACATCCGATAAAGGTGCACGTTTGGGGCTGCTTCTCAATGCAAGGATTTGGCACTTTGCATATCTTCGCAGACTTAACTTAACTTAAATGCTGCCAGAATGGTCAAAATTGATAAGAAGGCTTTATTACCATCTGCCCAAAAGTGGTTTATATCGAAAAACGAAAAATGGATACTACAGGAGGACAATGACCCTAAACATCGAAGTCTTCTTTGTACCGCATGGAAACAAGAAAATGACGTTGAATTACTGGATTGGCCGTCACAGTCACCGAATGCAAATCCTATCGAAAATGTTTGGTCCTGGATGAAGCTTAAGCTTCGGGGAAAAAAAATTTGAAAGATCAAGCAGTTAATTCGACAAATTAAATTGATCTGGAGATCTTTACCTAAAAAATATGCTATAAAATTAATTGAAAGTATGCCTCGGAGATGTCAGGCAATTATTGATAACGAAGGCGACTGGACAAGTTATTAATAAGGAAGCATCACAGTTCTTATCAAGTAGTATGTATGTATTTTATTTCAAGTCATTACAATAAATTCTTTATCGAGTTTTGCCGGACACGCTCTTATCAAACAGACTGTAACTCGATTTATGTAAGAATAGGTATGTAGCCAAAATTATATGCTCCATTGGTAATTTATGAAATTCAAACCACGTTTTTTTGGCTAGTGATCGATCGATTCGATGTTTTCTACATTGAAATCGAAGACCGATTGATGTGTTCAAGCTACTATATTCTCGAGTGGACGGCATAAGTTTCATATATTCTTTTCCGTTTTTAGGGCATTTATGTTTTGTAGGTAATAATTTAACGCTTTGTGCCCATTTAATGCATGTTTCTTGATCGGTAATTACATTATGTATAAGCTTACATAGGTTTCATGTACCTTGCAAGAGATCTGCATTTGATTGGGCACCCAGATAGCAATTTGATAGCAAATTGTCGTCAAATTGGTATCAAATTCGGTCGAAACTTGGTAACAAATCCGGTGCAATTTGTGTCCGCAATAAGATCATATTTTGCCAGCAAAGCCTGTAAACATAACCTGACAACAAATTGATAGCAAAACCCGAGCAAAGCTTGCTGACAAATTGGCGGCAGAAATCGAGCAAGATCTGCGCAGGGCAATCTGACGCCAGATTGGCAGCAAAAACTGAACAAAATCTGCAACTTTTAGCCATTTATATAAAATGATACATTTATAAATGAATTTAAAATCTCAATCCTAAATAGCAAAGTGACGATAAATTTTGGTCACGAAATGACCAATTAGACATCCTAAGTTAGCTCTCATGAGACCCGAAAATGACGTCATATGTTACATCCACCGTGCATGCGTGTGAATGTGTATGTGTGTGTTTGTGTGTATGTGTATCTCTCTGTCTGTGTGTGTGCGCGCGCGTATGAGTGTTAATCAATAACAATAATAATAATTAATAATAATTTTTCTTCTTCAACTCTTGACTGTATTGGTGCCAATCATTGTTAAGAGCCGTATAAAGACAATGGATGGGCGTGATACAGTCCAGTGTTTGTGGATTTCTAATATATGTCAATTGTAAAAGTGGACATATAATGTGTATGTATAAGTTAAATATATATTCATTGATACTACAGTTTATATATTGGTATATGGTATATGGTATGCAACTAAGAAGCTAGACAATGTGTATTTGGATTTGATACGCACAGATAGTAAAAGGCATACAATTCAACATGTATAGAGACAGGATTATGTAATGTATAGCAGCTATGCAAGTAGAAATATGTAAATATGCATATAGTAGTTTTTTTCATAAGTAGTACATGATATAGTTTACAAAACAAAGCGAGGTCCACCCCACAATTGTTGTGTGGATGGGAAAGTGTATGCCTGGACGCAGTGAGTTCCGCCCCACACCCCAATAACCTAACCCAAATCTATTTCTGATTTAAAACTAAAAGGTCGTAGCCGGGTAAGCATGGCCAATCTGCCCCCGCAGATATAGAGCTTAAATTTTTTTTGTAAGTTACTATTGATGGAACTTACAATTTCCTAAAATATTAGTCTCCCAACTGCACGTGTTTAAGAGTAAAAAAATAATAATAATTTTTCATAATTAATTTTTTTCTCGTAAACGGTTTAATGAATCACTTTAAAAAAAATATATATGATGTGGGCACAATTGCAACACACGAAACAAAAAATTGGGGTCCAAATTCGAGAAGAACAACATTGAGAAAAAAACACTTCAATTAAAAAAATTTTTTTTTTTCAATATCATAGGCGCTTGGTACAACTACCATTTTTTTTAAATAATATTTTTGAGCAATAAACAACAACATATATTTTTTTTTAATCGATCAAACGGGTAGACGAGTTAAATTAATTAAAATAATTTTTATATTTTTTTTCTCATAAAGGGTTTGATAGATCATTTTCGGAAAAAAGTATCTTGTAGATACAATCAAAGCACATTAAAAAAAATGAGATCAAAGTTGGATAATAATAACATTGTAAAAAAAATATTTTTGATTTTCATAATTTTTTTTGACGTCATAGACTGTTTCAACACATATCAATTTTTTTTCCAAATATCTTTAGGTAGCAATCTATAACATATATTTTTTATAAACTGATCCAACGGGTAGATGTTAAAAAATTAAAGCAAGATATATATATTTTTTTTTTAACGTGATGACGTTAATATAATATAGCTAAATAAATAAAACTATTCTTAATTACTTCTTTTTGTTGCTAATGTTTCTTAGTATACGTGCAATTTACTGCTGACATTCGCAAAACCATCACCGTTTTCCCAAGATGTACCACGAGAAGATTGTCAATCAGGTTTACATCTCACCATTCGCACTTGCATTCACCTACCCACACACACTCACACACAAGCATACACAATATATATATATTTTTTTTAATGTGCTTTAATTGTATCTACAAGATACTTTTTTCCGAAAATGATCCATCAAACTCTTTATGAGAAAAAAAATATAAAAAATTATTTTAATTAATTTAACTATCATCTACCCGTTTGATCGATTTAAAAAAAATATATGTTGTTGTTTATTGCTCAAAAATATTATTTTTTAAAAATGGTAGTTGTACCATGCGCCTGACATTAAAAAAAAAATTTTTTAATTAAAATATTTTTTTTCAATGTTGTTATTTTCGAATTTGGACCCAAATTTTTTGTTTCGTAAGTTGCATTTGTGCCCACATCATATATTTTTTTTAAAGCGATTCATTGAACCGTTTACAAGAAAAAAATTAATTACGAAAAATTATTATTATTATTTTACTCTAAAACACGTGCAATTGGGAGACTAATATTTTAAGATATTGTAAGTTCCATCGATAGTAACTTACAAGAAAGATTTAAGCTCTCTACCTGCGGGGGCAGATTGGCCGTGCTTACCCGGCTACGGCCTTTTAAGGCATATAACACTTATTGAATATAATCATGTGTCAGAAGTACGGAAACATGAAACGGGATAAATTATTTTTTCGATCTTTATTATTATAAATAATAATTTACCTCTGGAACATGGGTTGGGTTGGGTTGGATTTTTTTCGGGGTAGGGATGCAGAGAGAGAGGCTTCGCCCCTCCCCCGCCCACGCATTCGATTTACTATATATAAATATACAGTTTTACATGAGTTTGCAACTTTTTGCGCGAAGCGAGGTCCAACGCATATCGCCGTGTGCTTCGAAAACGAAACGAGATTTATGATTATACAGTCACATAGGTTTGAAATAGAGATGCAACGAATAGCATATTAGTAGTATAGGGGCAACTATGGTGCGTCAAAACAAACTCCCACTCCTCGGCCACTGGCCCTCTGCTGTGTGTCTGTCTGGTCCCTCCCCCCGAAGGTGTCTGTGGAAAAAAAGAGTGGAGGAGACTCGTGGACGTCTACGAGGCAATTTTCTTTTTAAACTTTTCCTTCCAAATTTTTAAAAAAATTTTTTTCTTTTAAATTTTTAAAAAAATCTTTTCCTTTTAAATTTTTCCTTTTTAATTTTTTTTTGTTTTTTTATTTTTTTCCGGGCGAGTGGAAATACTCGGAGCTCGAACCTGGGTTCTCCACATTTCCAAACAGGGTCCTAGTATGCTGGGCTAACTGAAATCTTATTAGAATAAGGATTAGATGAAATATTTGTGGAGAGTGGCCTTCTTGTATAGAAGTCTCCGCACTTTGATTGGTTTGCACCATAGTTGCCGGCAGTTTGATTGGACGAGGAGCATTGTTCTTGAGGGAGAGGGAAAAGCGCGGCACAATAACCCGTGTGTAAGAATCGACAAGATGGCGGCCTCCGAGGATGGAGATGTCACGAGGCATAAGGCATCCCTCCTCCTCCCCGTACGGAAAACCGAAAAATATCGTGTGGTATACAGCATCCCCGCTTCACCACTCCTACAGAAAAACCGGGAGATGTACGGTATATATCATCCTCCCCTCCGCCCTCCTTGTGAAAAGAGAAAATCGGATAAAGTACTGCTAGAATAAAGTAACTGATACGACGGAGATGCACACGTGCGTACGGGTAGGGTTGATCGGGCGGCCGAGGTGCACTACGCGGGTAGCTAGTGACGTCATCGTTGGTAACGATAAAAGGGATCATGAAAAAACAAGTCTATGCAGGTAGCGATTAGGGTGGTTTAGAGCTTTATGACGTCACTTAGACGAGGGAAGAAAGGATAGGAAAAGAGAAAATGTTTTCACATAGCATTATTTTAAAAACAGTTTTATTTATATTTATTTATATTTCTTACATAAGAATATTATGCTTTGTACAATGAAAAATTATTTTACATAAAAATATTTGTACAATAAAAATTCTTATTTACAATTAAATATAACTATATTGCGTAGCAAAAAAGATTATCTCTTAGCACGTCGGAAAATACGCGAATTCGTTATATTGCAACTTTAAAAACGAGAGTTGAGAAAATAGAGAAGAAAAATTATCGTTCCGCTACATAGCCGTATGGTAACGAACAATGACTATTGATAAATCTACGTTTTAGCAATACAGGAGCGCATACTTTAGTTTTATCGCGTGTTACAAGCTCATGAAACACAGTACGTCGAATTGCTCTAAAACGTAAGTTTATCGAAGTTCCAGCCGATTCTTCTTCATTTTCTTCATTTTCCTGTACCCTCTCATTAGCTAACATCAAATTTCTAATACTAATAAAATTGATTAGCTGAGAGTTTTCAAAATTTAAGGTTATGCCCTTCACTTTGCAGCATTCGTATGTTCGTCCGTCCGGTGCACGAACAACGTACGCATCAAATTTAGGGCCACCGGATACGAACGCCTCGATATAGATACCGCGGCCGTAGCTTTCAAGTTCGTCCGTCATGTCGCCCAAAAAATTTCCCGTACGCGGTTCGTACTCATTCGGATTAGCTGTGCTTACATAAATGCACGAATCCGTATCGTAATATGGAACGCGACGATCTAATCGCTCTAAATAAGAATATAATTTTAAACGTGCATGTGCCGTCGTATACGCTGCTATTGCAACATTCGTTATCGGTGAGGGAACGACAGCCTCTTGTCGCATTCGCCACGAAACATATATTACGTCGTCGTTTACGGGTAATATGTTGGTTATCTCGTGCTTAGCACTCGTCATCAATGTCGCAAAACACTGAGGCGTTCTCACGACTTCGGTATTTGGTAAATTGGATCGCTGGCCGAATTTTCCCCAAAAAGAATTTAAATACAGCTTCGCGACAGAACGTAAACCGGGATTCCGAGTGACGTTACGTTTATCAAGAACGATACCTTCGGTTTTCTCATACTCCCTCAGATATCGTTCTTTAGCATCGTCGTCGTTTTCCCAGCATTCGCTCGGCCATCCACTGGCTTCTTGTTTAAGCTGCAAGAATGTATTTACATATTCGGCGAACAATCCGCCTTGACGTGTCGTATGATCGAATTGGCTAACTTTATATTGCCAAATCTCGCTTACAGCCGTCACGAGATAACCCTTTTCGACGGCCTTGCGTAATTCGCAGGACACCCACGTATCCTCGAATTTGCGTTCACGAGCATCGTCATGTGTACAGGGCACCTGCGAAAATGTTTCGCAGCAACTGCGGCATAAAGCAAAAAGCAATTTTCCCTGCACACGATATGGGAGTACCGGATGAAATAAATCGCGTGGTGGGAGTACTCTGCACCGTATGAGACCTTCGAGCGTATCGAAATTATAATTCGGTGCCCTCCCGATTAATGCGGAACATTCCTCGCCGACATAAATATCAGGATGACCGATCGGGAAAGCACCTGTTTTCAAAACATATGGATACAAGGAGCATACGTCCACGTATCGTATTTTTTCCATACCTGTAACCTCATAGCGCGTCACAATATTCCCCGTGCGGCCACCGAAAAATGCATCGCGCGGATCGAGCGGAGGCGTTTCCACCATCGGATGGTTCTCGAGAAATTCACGCATTTCGCGATTATCTCGCATATCGCGATCGAAAGAGCACTCCCACTTTTCTATCACAAAGTATTTCCGTTGCCGAAGTCTCCACGAGATTGCGAGAGTTCGCTCGTAACGTGAGTCAATCGTATCCTTGCAATCCGATGTAGAAAGTGGTCTATCGCGATTCATAGGAAAGCAAGACGGGCATCCGTGCCAAAAACATCCGTGAAATTGTAGCACATGACGTTGAGGCGTCTCTGTATCAGGCGTTTCGTAATATCCATCGACGAGCGTGCCGTCGATTGTACGATATTCGCGCGCGCGCCCTGCGTGGTTTATAGAATGTCCGAGCTCGCGTTCCTTCCATATCAACCACTGCAGAGCTTTACGGGAATGATTGGTTGCTTTTCTGTATCCGCCAGTTGGAATGACGCCTATCGTATTTTGTTGCAAAAAGTTTTTCCGAAAAACAGTCATGCACGTCGAAGCAATTGTCGTGCATTCCTCGAACGGACATACATTTCCACGATCAATAAAAATTTTTCTGAACGCCATACATGCTTGTCGAAGAATATCAACGTCGGTACGACAATAGCGAATGATCTCACGTTGGAAATCGAACACGCGATCTAATCGCTCTAAATAAGAATATAATTTTAAACGTGCCTGTGCCGTCGTATACGCTACTATTGCAACATTCGTTATCTGTGAAGGAATGACAGCCTCTTGTCGCATTCGCCACAAAACATATATTACCTCGTCGTTTACGGGTAATATGCCGGTTATCTCGTGTTCGGCACTCGTCATAAATGTCGCAAAACGCTGAGGCGTTCTCACGATTTCGGTATTTGGTAAATTGGATCGCTGGCCGAATTTTCCCCAAAAAGAATTTAAGCACAGCTTCGCGACAGAACGTAAACTGGGATTTCGAGTGACGTTACGATTATCAAGAACGATACCTTCGGTTTTCTCGTACTCCCTCAGATATCGTTCTTTAGCATCGTCGTCGTTTTCCCCGCATTCGCTCGGCCATCCACTGGCTTCTTGTTTAAGCTGCAAGAATGTATTTATATATTCGGCGAACAATCCGCCTTGACGTGTCGTATCGAATTGGCTAACTTTATATTGCCAAATCTCGCTTACAGCCGTCACGAGATAACCCTTTTCGACGGCCTTGCGTAATTTGCAGGACACCCACGTACCCTCGAATTCGCGTTCACGAGCATCGTCATGTGTACAGGGCACCTGCGAAAATGTTTCGCAGTAACTGCGGCATAAAGCAAAAAGCAATTTTCCCTGCACACGATATGGGAGTACCAGATGAAATAAATTGCGTGGTGGGAGTACTCTGCACCGTATGAGACCTTCGAGCATATCGAAATTATAATTCGGTGCCCTCCCGATTATTGCGGAACATTCCTCGCCGACGTAAATATCCGGATGACCGATTGGGAAAGCGCCCGTCTTCAATACATAAGAGTACAAAGAGCACACGTCCACGTATCGTATTTTCTCCGTACCCGTAACCTCATAACGAGTCATGATATTTCCCGTGCGTCCGCCGAAAAATGCATCGCGAGGATCGAGCGGAGGTGTTTCCACCATCGGATGATTTTCGAGATATTCGCGCATTTCGTGATTATCGCGTATATCCCGGGCGAAAGAGCACTCCCACTTTTCCGTCACGAGGTATCCCCGTTGTCGAAGCCGCCACGAGATCACGAGAGTTCGTTCGTAACGCGAGTCGATTGTATCCTTGCAATCCGCTGACGAAAGTGTTCTATCGCGGTTCATGGGAAAGCAAATCGGACATCCGTGCCAAAAACACCCGTGAAATTGAAGTACGTGGCGTTGCGTTGTCCTAGTATCAGATGTTTCGTAATATCCGTCGACGATCGTGCCATCGATTGTACGATATTCGCGCGCACGTCCTGCGTGGTTTATAGGAAGACCGAGCTTGCGCTCCATCCATACTAGCCACTGTAGAGCTTTACGCGAATGATTACTCGCTTTTCTATATCCACCAACTGGAATGACTCCATCGTATTCGGCTGCAAAAAGTTTTTCCGAAAAACTGTCATGCATGTCGAAGCAATAGTTGTGCATTTGGAATGGACATACATTTCCGCGATCTATGACAATTTTTCTAAACCATACATGCCATACATGCTCGTCGAAGAATATCAACGTCGGTACGACAATAACGTACAATCTCGCGTTGGAAATCGAACAAGATATTTTTTTGTCTCATGTCTGCATGCCATGTGAGAAAGCGTTCGCGCTTTTCCGGTTTCATAGTCTCTGGTGAATAATAATGAGTATCAGGTAAGGGATCGTTATACGATTGATTTTCGACGGTGTTAAAAAAATGCGGAAAAATACCTTTATCCAACGTATCCTATAATCCGAAAGCTTTCGGTAATTGCGATAAACGCATTGGCATATAATTAACACTATCGATGAATTTCGTATGTCCCACCGTTAGCACCATGTGTTGTGCCTCTAGCCGCTAAGAAAGAGGTCTTTAGGGATTTATACGCCCAAAGGATTAGGATCCACGCTCGAAATAAGACACTCCCGAACGTTAGGTATAAATTGATATATTTCACAGATTCTTTCGTACACTTTCACTTAATCGCGATTATAATAGTCGGGCGCGATACGTACGGTATATCGATACTGTTGATCTGAGCGAACGAGTAACGAGCGATGTTAATGAGCTATATTACTGAGCTAGCGTCGGTGCATCTCGCGCTCGATATATATTAATTAATTAGGTCGTTGATTAGGGAGGAGTGTGGTGTCCCTGACCGGAGCATGTCTCGTGCTCCGCTCGTCAGCTGTCTCGTCAGCTGCTTACTCAGCTTCCGAGAACTTGACCGTGACTTCCTTCTCTTTAGTCACGTATCTTACTTTTATTTTATTAATAATCTTTTATTACTTTACTCTTTCTTAATTATCTTTCCTTGATCTCTTTTCTAATTTTAATGCATTGCTTTACTCAGCGCTTTCTTAATCTTTTCTGTTTTACTTTATTGTTTTATCTTTTAATATATTGAGAAATTGGTCGGGTTACGACATATGATATTCGTACCATTTAAAATTACTTCAGGCTCTAAATTGTTGCGATTTTCAACAATATATTGTAAAATAAATTGTGCGTCGAACGCTTTCGCATTATGCGCTATGCATATAATTTGCTTGAAACATTTTATCGTTGTAAAATCGAAAAATTGTTTTACCGGATCGTGATGAAATACGAACTCTCGCACGCCGCACCAACGACAACGCACGATCATGTCATTTTTTTTCGCGCACACTTCGCAAATCTGTTGCGCAACGCAAAGGGTTGGAACGTGTTTTTTTACATTCATCGTATCTTCGAGCGTCTCGTCTTGACGTATTTCGAAATCGTAAAATACGAATGCTACGCGTTCCTTTTTGCGCCCGTATGCACGTTCGTTTGCCTCTTCGACGTTAAAAGTACTCTCCTCCTCCTCCTCATGTGTAACCGTTGTCGGCATGGTCAGCTTAGATGACGAAGACGACGCTTCAACGGAAGAATTATTATTACGACGAAGAGGCTGCATGAAGCGTAAATGGTTTTCAGGCTTCGGCGAATGGCATAGTTTACAGTAAGAAACGCCGCATTCGTGTCTCGCATCTGATTTAGCGATGCGACCGCATCCGTCACAAAATCGCACAATATTGCAAATACTTTCGGTCGATTTGCCATCGTACGATTTTATATTACGATGATGCTCAAAGCACTTCTTACCGAAAAATGTTTACACGCATTGCATTTTATGATTTTCGCGTCTGCCTGTTTACACGACGGTACAGCGAAATATCGAGGGCATTTATTCGGACAGCGATGACCGGTTTTATCGTTCCGATAACATTTATTGCACGGTACGCATTAATTTCTGCAACCCGCGGCGGCGGGTTAAATTTATATAATAGGATTATAATGACGCGAACACTCGTAATACATAATATTTAAGCGTAACGAGGGTTCGCGTCCGAGAGAAGCAAGTATCGAGATTCCGTCGTACAACGATTTCGTACCGCGGCCAAAAGTATTAAAATTATAAACGACAATGGCGATATTGTCAACGGTAAAATAACGTTGAAAGCGCTCGATTTCTCGAATTACTATCGAGCGCTTCATAACGTCTTCGCAAGTTAATTTAACATGTCCGCGACCCAAAGGAACCGTGACATTAAAAACATGAATGTTAAAGTGTTCCGCGATATCGAGTCCCCCAGCACTCTGCGCTACTGAATGAGTTTCCAAATATCCTCATACGACATGTCTCTAGCCGGTCGAAAGGATAATCCTGCAGGGCCCTGCGATAAATTCGCCGAATGGAAAGACATTCCCACATAATCTCCAGGCTCGCATAAATTTATCGCATACGCGTGAATTTCGCGGAACGCATTTTCTAATAAACGATAAATATCTCCACCTCTATATAACGGCCGTATCGTGAAACTTGCTTCTCTCCCGATTACACCGAATCTCCGAAATTGCCGTGTATTTTCCAATAATAATTCTACGTAATTAAAATGAATATTGCCGACCTCATGACGCTGTTGTTGTCGTTGTTGCTCCTCTTCCATCGGCTCCTCTTCACCATCTTCTGTCTCCGACGAGAGATTACAGCGTTCCTCAGGAGACACTTCTTCATTTTGTCCACCACCGCCTCTCTGCACTGTCGAAACAAAAGAAAAATAATTATAATATATAATTGTATATATTATATATATAATAAATTAATAATAATTATAAATAAAATAATAATTATATATAATATAATTATATAAAATAAAATTTTATATCTGACCTAGTGATGTCATGATATCAGCTTCGCGGCCGTTTTCATCGGAACGTGCTCTTCCTAAAATTTAATATTTTATCAATATTGAATATAGAATTTGTATAAAGATTAATATTTTTATTTTATTTTTTACGCAAAACTTACCCGAAGGTCCTGTTTCGAGCGCTTCTTCATCCCTGTGTTTTCAGGTCTGAGTGCAAGCCTCTTGTACGCTATTTGTCGGAGTGTTCCGATCTACAAATTATGATAAATTTGTAAATTTAAAGTAATCAAAGTCTCTCGTATTCGATTACATTACATTCTCCCTAATATAAATAAAACATTTTGCTTACCGTTTAAGAGGTTTTCTCGATGTTTAGATAACAGGAACTTTATAAGATCTCCTGCATCCACCTCCTCATGTTCGAATGCCTCCCGCATTTCTATTATTTCACCCGCAATATGCAGCAATTCATCATAATCGGCGAAATAGCCTAGCCTGTATAGCACTGCTAGTACAGTGTTCGAGCAGGCCCACGCAAAAGACCGAAAAACAGCGTAATTGATTTCCGACGACTCATCCCATAACGCTGATAAATATCGCTCCCTGTTTAATGTAGGCGACAAATTTGAGCCTATAATTATGCATTTGCATAATATTTCTTTGAGTCCAGGCATTTTTATCAACATTCACTCACGATATCACTTTTCACGATAAATATAACACTTTTCGCGGGAAGACACGCGTTACATCGGATGATGTTGAACTCGAAATTACCTTTTTTACTTCGATGCGGAGAATTTATTTAAACGTATATCCCCATTTTTTTCCAAAAAGGAACGCCGTTGAAAAATTTAAAATTTTTCCTTTCTAGGTAGTTAGATTAATTTAAAAGAAAACAAAAGAGCGCCGCCAAAAAAAAGTTCCCGGGTTTTCATTCCGGGTGTTTTTCATTTCTTTTGAGAAAAAAGTAGACAAAAAAATATTTTATTTTTATTACGTTATTAACAGCTATTATTTATTTAGTTTTATTACTTTTGTTATAGCGGTCTCTAAGTAAAAGTTTTGTTACGAAAAACTTTTTTAAAAATTTTCGTAGAAGAGACAGGATTATATCAATTAGAAAATTGCTCCCTTATAAAATTTTTTACAATATAATCTCTACAATACAATCTATAAAAATTTATTACACAGGTGATAAACATTTATTTACGCTTTATAACATATTGTAAATGTATTTAGAGAAAAAGTTTAGAGAAAAATTTTTCCCTTGTAACGTATCTAATTTCTAGATGATTCTAGATGTTTTTCCGCTTAATTTTTAGCGAGTTGAACAAGATTGAACATGAAAAATCACAATTTTTCCTGTTATTTAGTTGTCTATGCAAACTTTTCTCCCACTTTTCTTTATATTTCGATATATAAGCAGCGTGAGAAGATGCGAATCCTTCATTCCAGTTTGCCCGTACGAAGTCTTCATTTCGGTTATGATACAAGAATTCGACATTGTTGTGACTAGTGTTCTCTCAGTTTTATACAAAAAGTGATAACAATGGCTGCCACGAAAGAAGTTTCCAGTGATCAGAATAATCTAACCGATTTTGTTAAATCTACACACGTTTGCGATATTAGCAAATCGGACAACAACATCGACATCAATAGAAGAAACGAACAGCGATACTTATTACTATCGACAACGTATGCTCTTAATTCATCGTGTACTAAGAAGCTACATGTGGGATTGCAAGCAACAAACGAAGGTTATTTCGTACCAATTGTTAAATTAACGGGCAATTATGCGGACGGAATTTGTCTCGATACCGACACTTGGCAATTTCAACTCAACATGGAACAGATGAGACTGTGCTTGAGTGAAAATTAAAAAACCAAACCAAGTCCGATTATCGTCAACAATATTTCCATCTTCACCACCGCTTACGGGACGAGGGCTGTGATAGTGGCTTACAAGGAAAATGTGGAACAATCCGTGAATAATGGTAAGACGGAGGAGCAAGCGCAGCCGCCCTTGAAGAAACGAAAAACACACAGTGTCGCTATCGTGATGCAGAAAGCAATTTCTCTCGGCATGGAAAATATTACAAGATGTGTGGATGTTCGATTGTCGCAGCTAGTTTCCATCACCGACACCGTCAACACCTGCGCCAATTACTTAATGAACGAGATAGAATTAAAACTCCCATCAGCTTACATAGACCGTGAAATTATAAAACTCATAGTTAGTGGTAATTTTCAAGAAATTGAACGCAATGTACAAACGCAAATAAGGGATTTAACATTTTTAGATGTATATTTCAAAATTGTATTCGAAGAATTACTTTCATTTAATGAAATTGCGCGTATAATTTTAAAACGCAATTGTTAATTTTACGAAAAAAGAAAAATTTATTATCAATAAACATGAAATTTTTTCCAACTTTGAAATTACAGAGTATTTTTTCTTTTAGCCCACTCTATTATCTCCTCTACTTCTTTATTAGTGTGCATAGAATATTCCATCGTAAATTAATATCGGATGATAGCTGAGCGTTAAACGAGCGTCTTATTTCTAGCATAAGCACACATAGAGCACTGTCTATAAGCTCGTAAGCAGCGGTGCTAAAAAAACGCTGGCGTGAGCGCATCCCCGCGAATACGCTTACTAGCATCGTTCCCGCGGCTACTTATCAGCTAATCGCCCGCGGTGCTTTCCGCTTGTACGCGTGCGGGAAAACGCTAGCGCGAGCATGCGGCCGCCGCGGTGGGCCCCCCGGAGCGCGGATAAGCTTATTACTCAACACATATCTACGATAAATATTAAACATATTCGATGCGCGTGCGTATTTTTATGTTATTGTTATTAAATATTCTTGATTACTTTTTTATTTATGAGAGCGCACGTAATCGGCAAATCGTTCATTTCGCAAAATGGATGTACGATGGAAACATCCTTGGACGTCGATCGTCTGCGGGCCTACGGGATGCGGAAAAACAGTTTTCGTGAAAACGTTTCTTCGTCATTTATCCGTCACGTCAGATGTTCGATTCAAGAGAATTTTATTTTATTACGCCGAGTGGCAAAATGCGTATCAACGTTTACAATGCGCCACGAGTGAAAAAGAAGAAGAAGAGAAAAAAACACAAAAGACCAGTTACGATAATAATGCTTTGATAAAATCGAAGAAAAATATCATCGTATTTCGCGAGGGGTTACCGCGTCCGGAAGATTATTCCAACGATCCGCTTTCGCCAAAATTAATAATAATTGACGATCTTATGAGGGAATGTTCGTCGTGCGACGCTATCGTAGATCTGTTTACCAAAGGAAGTCATCATAAAAATCTCAGTGTTATACTCATCTCGCAAAATCTCTTTCATCAAGGGCGCGGACAGCGCGACATATCTCTCAACGCGAATTACATAGTAGTTTTCAAAAATCCACACGATCGCTCTCAAATACGTCATCTAGCGCGTCAAGTTTATCCCGACGATCCAAAATTTATGGAAGAAGCGTACTATGACGCTACATCGAGATCTTTATCTTATCTTACGGGTATTTATTGCTCGATTTAAAACAATCGACTCCAGACGAATATCGCTTTCGTACGTGCATCTTTCCTGACGATACTCTGCATTACACTTACATCCCGCGCAGATCGAACAATAAAAGTGGGGGTGTATAAAAGGTGCAAAATTCATGTTTGCAACTTGTCAGTCGTGTGATTTCAGCGTAATGGTGAAAAAAGAAGAGGCTGATAAAAAGTTGATGACATTGAATAGAGCAGAAAGAATGCTAAACGATCTATCGGTGAGAGAAACATATGTTTTTTAAAAACTTTGTGTCAATTGAAAAAAAATCAAAGAACAGCATTCTTACGAGTCGCCGACAATAAGCTCATAAAGTGCATTCGAGAGTGCATTTTCAATACGCTCAAGGGTAACGTACCGCTTCGATGTAACGATAAAAAGCGATTATCCAAACATAAAACGATCCTACGTCGCGGCGAAACAAGGTAATTGGAAGGCTAAAAGAAAGCTGTTAGTGCAACATGGCGGATTTTTACCTTATCTTATTGGCCCTATACTAGGTGTTATATTATCTCGAATTATCGGCGAGTGAAAAAGAAAAAATACAACCTTAAACATTCCTGCATTTTCCGTAAAGGTATAATAAAAATAATAATAATAAAAAGAAAAGTATTAGCGCACCAGTACTTTGAACAATGGAGAGGGCTAAGAAAATGGTTTTGATATCTACGGAAAATCTCGAGAGAATGCAACGAATGCAGCAGCAACCGGAAATATCATCTATTACGTCGATTGATAATTCGACGAAGAAAAATAGGAAATATCTGATACGGAAAATATTAATAGTAATAATAATTCAGTACGGACACCGGGAACACCTCTATCGCGACTCAACGCGGAGATGTGGCGTATTCTTAACCTCGGGACTCCCGTCGGCGAGGACAAAAGATGGAGATTGTATAAGGAAGTACTCCAACGTTATCTTCAATTTGTTCAAGAAGCGAAAAAGTGCTCACGCAATGATACACAGGGTAACGACGAGGACAATAATGCCGAGCAAAACGAAGACACGAATTTGGATGTCGGCGATAACAAATTTATGGAAACGACAACTTTAATTAATAGCGACCGCGGTGACGGTAGCGCTGGTAGTAGTACTAGTTTCGGGAAAAAACGTGCACAATCGGCTGAAATGATCAAAAAAATACTCGATAGTGTACCGAAATCTTATCGCGACAAAGCGCGAGCGCTATTAAAATATTTGATCAATATTCCGTCATCTAAAATGAGCTGGGATAGACGAGGACTCGTAACTACAGACGGCGCTGTCATAATGGGTTCAAATATCGCGGAACTTATAAACGACGCGATACGCGAGAGAAAAACAGTAAAAGCAACCGGAAGAATTCAGTTTGCTTGATTACTGCACGACATAGACACTCCTTCCAATCTCATAGGAAATCGTGATTTATTACATACGCACGCGCGATCTTATCGTATTAAAATCGTGGTACCGCGCGGAAGTTCCACTCCGAAAACTTCATCCGAGAGTTCAAAGTCGTACAGACGTAAGGTAGACGAAACGAGCGAAACCGAAGGTGATACGCTATTTGTATCCGCCGACGAGGACGAAAGCGACAAAACATTAACGAGCTGCCGACAAAGAAAAGAAAAGGATTGCTCGACTGAAGCAAACTCGAATGATGGAACTCGAAAAATTGTATTACAGTCCCTCGTATTATGCCGGCTATTCGGCGACGGACAATTTATCGCGAGCCGCTAAACCGAATTTCACACGGAACGATGTCATCGACTGGCTTAAATCGCAAGACGCATACACGTTACATCGTCCGGTACGTCGAAAATTTCCACGCTTACATTATAACGTGACAAATATCGATGACTTATGGGAGGCTGATTTGATCGATATTCGTAATCTCAAGAGCTATAATGATGGTTATTCATATCTATTAACGGTTATTGACGTACTCAGTAAATTCGTTTGATTTAACGGGCGAAGTTATAGACGGGATTTTTTATGAACAAGAATTAGCGCCTGTTATTAAAGATTTACAAGTGGAAGAATTTATCGTTGATCGTGTGATAAAAAGTAGGGGTCGCGGTAACAATAAACAATTATTAGTTAGTTGGC